TTGTCCAGTTTTCAGGAAATTAACTTATAAGTTTGTAAATACTGGTGATAAATGATACTTCGTGTACTTTTAGCGTGCGAATAATTGTAATGGTGTTCGCAAAGTCGCGAGTGCCAGCTTTAAAGGTGTTTTTTATGATGTCATCAGGTGACAAAAACTCTACGGTTCTCTATTTTATTTTCTTGATCCGTTGATCTTGAAAAATGACTGAACGCTTGTGAAATTTTGACTTATGAGTCTTCGTCAACTTCAGATCCTTGTTTGTATTCTAAGCACTATAGCAAAATCAAAACTGAAAATTGTCTGCTAGGTACTACAGATAAACCAAAACTGACAGTTGCATTGAAGGTACGACAGGCAAATCGAGCTAGCAACTGTATATTTGGCACTGTTGTCAAATGAAAACTGAGAGACATCTGCTAAACAGAACAGAAAATTCAAGTTAACATCTGTATTAAAGCACTACAAATAAATAAAAAATTACAACTCTCTAAGCATTACAAGCATTACAGTTAAAACTAAAAATTATCTTATAGGTACTACAGATAAATCAATACCTAAAATGTTCTTAGGAATTACATATACGTGTTAAAATTGAAAGTTATCTCTTAGGTAATTCGGATAAAGTAAAACTGAATGCTGTCTTCTAGGCCCTACGGATAAATCAAAACTGGCAGTGTATTCTAGGTACTACAGATAAATCAATACTTAAAATGTTCTTAGGAATTACATATACGTGTTAAAATTGAAAGTTATCTCTTAGGTAATTCGGATAAAGTAAAACTGAATGCTGTCTTCTAGGCCCTACGGATAAATCAAAACTGGCAGTTGTATTCTAGGTACGACAGATAAATCAGTACTTAAAATGTTCTTAGGAATTACATATACGTGTTAAAATTGAGTTATATCTTAGGTAATTCGGATAAATTAAAACTGAATGCTGTCTTCTAGGCCCTACGGATAAATCAAAACTGGCAGTTGTATTCTAGGTACGACAGATAAATGAACAGTAACAGCTGTATTCAAGATACGACATATAAACCGAAAATGTTCTCTTACCCTTTAGAGATATAAAAATGATAATTGTCTCTTGGGTACTACAGATGAATGAACCCTGACAACTATCTTTTAGAAACAACAGATATACAAAAACTGTCAAACGTCTTCTAGAACTACAGCTAAATCAAATTAGCAACAATAGTGTTTGTATTACAAACAAATCACAATTGGCAAATGTATTTTAGGCGCTTCACATAAACCAAATTGAAAACTGTTTTCTAAACAATAAAGTGGAATCAAAAGTAACCGGGCTATGCTAGAAACTACAGATAAATAAAAAGCTGTATAATACACACTACAGATAAATCCAAACTTTCTTTTAGGCACTGCAGATAAATAAAACTTGACAAATGTCTTTTGGGCGCCACAGTTGAATCAAAATAGAAAATTGTTTTCTACGCATTACTGGGAAATAAAACCTGACAAACAGCTGTCTCTTAGAAGTCTATTTGTATATATAAGCCAAATGTCTGCCTGTCCGTCTGTCACGCTCTGTATCTTCTGAACGGTTAATCGTAAAAAAAAAAAAAAAATCCAAATGCTCATTTTTAAGAGTACATTTCAGGAACATTATTCATTTTCTACAATTTTTAAAATTTCATATCGATATCATCATCGACCCGTCAGTCTTCGTAGGCGTTGAATGGTCAATCTGATGAAAAAACGTATTAAGAATAATATGTTTCTTTTTGTTATGGAATTTTACGACAAAAACTGGACTTCCTCTGTAAAGTGATTGCAAGAAATCTTTCCACCTTTGACATTTCATCTAGAAATGATAACTGTCCAAAAGCGCTCACTTCGGTAGCGGTATTTTCTTGCATCCGGTAAAATGACAAGGAACGGTGTCATTCAACGGAAAACATCCCTGCGGCTACCTAACGAACTTGAGCCCTCTATTGTGCTGGATACACCCATGGCATCGAAACTCAAACATTTTTGCTAACAATAAACTGAAGTAAGTCTCATTTGCTTAAAAACGAACGCAATATGATTTTCCTTATTGAAATAACACATGTAATGACAAAAGACTGTTATAAAAGGCCTACTAGACAATCTTATTGACCAAAGTGATTGGGTTGAATGCACAAAATTCATATTTATTCATCACTATTTTTAGGAAAGCTACCATTGAAATGTTTCAACTGGAATATGCCAGTTACCTATAAATCAAAACTTACAAATTTCCCGTAAAGAACGCAGAGAAATGAAAACTGTCAAATGTTTTCTAGGCACTACAGATACATCAAATTAACAACGGTATTGTAGGTGCTACAGAAAAATCAAAACGGACAAATGTCTTCTTGATACTACAGTTAAATTAACACTGAAAATTATCATATAAGCACTACAGATAAACAATAGCTGGTTCTTACGAACTACAGATAAACCAAAACTGACTGATGTATTCTTGGAACTACCGGTAAAATCAAAAATAACAGCTGCATTCTAGGCACTGCGGGTAAATAAAAACTGATAATTGTCTCTTACTCACTACAAATATAAAAACTGATAACTGTCTCTCAGGAATTGCAGATGAAAAAGCTGAGAACTGCCTTCTAGATACTACAGATAAATTTAAACTGAATATTGTTTCTTACTCACTACAAATATAAAAACAAACAAAAAACAACAACAACTGATAAATGTCTCTCAGGTACTGCAGATAAAATAACCGAGAACTGCCTTCTAGATACTACAGATAAATTAATGCTGAATATTGTCTCTTACTCACAACAAATATAAAAAAACTGATAAATGTCTCTTATGAATTGCAGATAAAAAAACCCTGAGAACTGCCTTCTGGATACTACAGATAAATCAAAACTGAAAATTATCTTATAGGCACTATAAATATATAGACTGTAATAAACAACTGTCTCTTAGGAATAACAGATAAATAAAATCTCTCAATTACCTTCTTGATACTATGGAAATAAATCAAAACTGACAGCTGTGTTTTGGGTACTACAGATAGGTCAAAACGGACAGTTGTATTCTAGACAATGCAGAAAAATCAAAACTGACAAACAACTTTTAGGCATTAAGATAAATCAAATTATCAACTGTTTTTTATGAACTAGAGATAAATCAAAATGGACGGTTGTATTCTGGACAATGCAGATAAATCAAAACTGACAAACATCTTTTAGGCATTAAGATAAATCAAATTATCAACTGTTTTTTATGAACTAGAGATAAATCAAAATGGACGGTTGTATTCTGGACAATGCAGATAAATCAAAACTGACAAACATCTTTTAGGCATTAAGATAAATCAAATTATCAACTGTTTTTTTATGAACTAGAGATAAATCAAAACGGACGGTTGTATTCTGGACAATGCAGATAAATCAAAACTGACAAATATCTTTTAGGCATTAAGATAAATCAAATTATCAACTGTTTTTTATGAACTACAGATGAATAATAGCGGACAGTTGTATTCTAGGCACTTCAAATAAATAAAAATTTGCAAACGTCTTCTAATCACTAAAGATAAACCAAATTAACAACTGTATTGTAGGCACTACTGATCAATGGTTAACTGATTAACACCTGTTTTCTAGGCATTACAGATGAATAAAAACTGAAACCTGTCCTCTAGCCAATAAAGATATGTAACTGAAACCTGTCCTTATCTTTATTGGCTAGAGGACAGGTTTCAGTTACATATCTTTATTGGCTAGTAAAAACTGAAAAGTATATTTTAAAGACTACTGGTGGATCAAAATTGACAACTATTTTTTAGGCACTATAGCTATACTAAGTTAAGGATCATTTTACCAACATATCTCTTACTTCATGACTCCGATGGTAACGTTAAGGTTAAATAAACATACATAACTAGGTTTTCTTATCCCTTTTTTCCACCTAGGAAGCTGAACCTAAGATAAAAGACGAAGAAAATTGTCGACTATTAAAAGAAAGCACAGAATAAGCTCCTACACTACTATATGATGAGCCAATAATCACACGTGTTTAATGACGTCACTTCACCATCGGTTCACTTAATAAGCAATACATATTTAACACAAATACATTGAGTGACCTTTGTTTGCCTGTTTTTTTTTTTATTGAAAAAACTTATCTTAAATCCTGTCCACTGTATCACACTAAACTGATTTTACTTTCGTCAGCGTCGAAAAACTTTTAGGATTTTTTAGTTTTTATCAAAGTTGCGGCATCAAGACACATGTACACTGGAAAGTTGTGATGCACTCACATCTGAAGAAATCAGACGGTTCGAACTCTTCTTATACAATGTTTTACTTGCATATACAACGTTTCGCATAGTTTTATAACCTACACTTGTGTTTTGTGTGAGAAAAATAAAATTATTTTTATTTTTTGGCCAAGCTGTGATCATAATAAAGTATATTGTATATTTGTTTATCTTATAGCAAGTAAGTCCTAAACACCTTGGAGCCGGGCGTGGCCTAGTGGTTAGTGTGTGCCGGGCATTGGATCGAAAGGTCTAAGGTTCTAGTCCGTTATATGCCACTGAACTCCGCAATTTCAAAAGTGGGTTTAAGGTTCTAGTCCGTTATATGCCACTGAACTCCGCAATTTCAAAAGTGACAGTCAGTCTTGCTTTTCGATTCAATAGCCCTTGAGGCGACGAATGTTACTAGCTGGCTGCCTTCTGTTTATTTAGTAATTCAAAGCTAGGGGCAGATGAGCATCAAAGCCCTTGAGGCGACGAATGTTACTAGCTGGCTGCCTTCTGTTTATTTAGTAATTCAAAGCTAGGGGCAGATGAGCATCAAAGCCCTTGAGGCGACGAATGTTACTAGCTGGCTGCCTTCTGTTTATTAAGTAATTCAAAGCTAGGGGCAGATGAGCATCAAAGCCCTTGAGGCGACGAATGTTAACTAGCTGGCTGCCCTCTGTTTATTTAGTAATTCAAAGCTAGGGGCAGATGAGCATCAAAGCCCTTATTAGTCTCCGCCCTGGGGGCTCAGCTTACGTGCCCCTACGTTGCTGTTTAGCTTGACAATTACAATTTCCTAAAAAAACACTGAAGATCAAATTTTGTATAAAATTCATAACATAAATTTTCTTATATATGTGAATGTATAATTATTCGCAATAACCTAAAATGTATGTTTATAATGTGTTGAATAGTCCTGGGTATAAAAATAACCATTTCAAAAAGAGTCTCGACTTTCTAGTTTTAGCCACTTATCTTATCTTTGAGTTTGTAACAGCTCGTTCACACGGTTAATAGCAGGGCTCGACACGTTGAAGAATCTATTTAAAACTCTATGGGGTTTTTTCATTTTCTTTGTGCTAGAAGATTTAGTTAAGTGACTTCCCCGTAGGCTCATTTTTACTGTTATACATAATTGTACTACTTAAGGTGTGTTATTCGTTTACGTTAGTAAGTAAAATACTTTTGCTAATAAAAACACGTATTTCAATGTATGCTTTCTAAAAAATGTCTCTTGTCCGTTTTTTGATCATGGTCTATCCACGTAAACTATAAAAACTTCACTGAATCGTGAATTCGTTTGTGACTCCAGCTGGTGTAAAAACTAGAATTTCCTACTGATTTAAAAACATCAAATATTTGACTTTTTTACCAAAATGTTGTCTATCTTCCTCTGGTAACATTATAATAGAGAGGAGTTTTGAGGAGAAATTCATTTTATCACGAGTTTAATCCTCAACAATACATATGTTTGCCCATCAATACTTTGTGAATGTTGTATCTGTTGCAATAGCCCCCCAGTGGCACAGCGGTATGTCTGCAGACTTACAACGCTAGAAACCGGGTTTCGATGCCCGTGGTGGGCAGAGCACAGATAGCCCTTGTGTAGCTTTGCGCATAATTAACAACAAACAAACAAACTGTTGCAATAATACACGAATTAACTTAACTTTATTTTTTTGTGAAATTATACAATGCTTTCCGCTAAAACCATCTAGCAAGCTAAGATTAAAATAAATGCTAGATAACTTTCTAATTATTTACTCTAATAAAGTCAAATGTTGACAAAATACATTACGAAACCTCATTTAAATATCCACATAAATCAAAATACTTCTCAACAAGTCACAAATTTGTCATTTTGACTCTTTTAACACATGAATAATTACAGTAATCAATAATAACTACAGAGTAATATAATAAGAGAGTTGTTTTTATGTCATTACTCAAATATTTCACAATGTAACGGTAAATAGTTTATGTTATTCATAAAACTATTCACACAGTAAACTAGCAATAAAGACATATATTACTAATGACAAGTGTTTTTGTTGCATAGATATGTTTATAGAAATGTACAAAAATATATTGTTATAAAAATGTTTTACACAGAACAATATTCAAAAATCTAATGTTCGTTAATAAAAAACTACATGTAAAAAACAACTTGCAATTGTTTAGCGATATAGCAGCCTGTCAACAGTTAGTAATAATACGCCTTTTTTTCCAATGTAAATGGTATAGAATATCCATCATATTACAAAGCTATAACTACAAGTAACGTCACATTAAACACACGCTCAATAAACCAGTAAAAATAATATTAATTAATTGCGTTTTGTCGTTTTTGTGTTTTTAATTAATCAATTGCGTTTTTAAATCTCAAGTATAAGAGACCCCAAAACCAATAATGTTTCAAACGTAATATATGACACTCGCTTAGCGAAGTGAAATACGAAACCAAAATCACATTGATTAAAAACAAACAAAAACAACAATAGATGGTTTAGATAATAAATATAATTACTGACATATAAGTTCTTTATAATTTTATTAGTCCTCTGTGGGTCAGCGGGAATTCTGAGGGCTTGTAACACTAAATATCGAGTTTCGATACCCACAGTTGGTGGAATACAGATAGCTTATTGTGTATCTTTGTGCTTAACAAAAAACAAAATAATTTAATTATAAACTTGAGCTGCTAAATCTATTAATACGAACGCTACAGAGAAGCGTAGATAGATGTAATTAGTTTTTACAGTATTTGTGCTGTTGTTATTCAAATATTATCATCAAAATTAGACTTTGGTCGTTTAGAGCTAATCAAGCTTCCAGAATAACAGCTGACTCTAACTGAAAGATTTAACAGCGAAGCTCAAGAAACTTCTGCCTACCATTCGAGGAATCATTTTGATCTATTAATAAGGACACTGCTTCTTCTGATTCTTTGTCCAAGGCAGACTATTCATAAGTGGACAGCTGACCAAAGTCCGAGTCTTATACACATATTTTTACATCAGTGCGCAGTAAGTAACTTAAAGTGCGCCTGGTTTCAAATGATGGACCCTGTAAAGAAAGTAGAAGGACCAAGTGACACAGAGGGTATAAGCGTATTATTTTTAGTCTCCTATCAGAAGGGATTGGATCAGATAATAGGCATTGGACGTACGCCAGAACTGTGAAAAAAGGATGGGAACAAGATAAATTTATCCTGAAACAGGTGCCCAGGCAGACGTTCTCCATTTCTTTTTGAAAATATTCCCGACTGTATGAATTGTGAAATAAAACGTAATATTTGGTATGGGCGTTGGCTTCTATCTTCTTGGTTGAGCTATTATTTACCACGCATAGGTCAGAATCAAAACGTTTCCAGCTCTTGTGCATTGAGGTAGCTGATGTTGCAAAACTTGCAGTCGTGTAAACACATTTTTTTTTTTATTTGAATTGCTTCACTTAACATGTGATACTTGGAGAAAACGTTGAAGATTAAAAAAGGAGAAGAAGAAGAAGAAGAAGAAAAGTGAACAAAGAAAAGAATCGTGTCAGACTGAAAGAGTTATAATGAACTGACAATGGGAACTTCGGAGATAAACAAACGCCCACTGAAGTGAGAGCGTATTACTTTAATGAAAACCAGCAGCCAGAGGTAAAACGGATGAAACTAGCCTAATAACAATATTCTGAATAAAGCACGCTTATGTGTATGATGCCTTTAATCGCCACAAGTAACTTACGTTCATAGAGTTAGACAATACTTATTATTATTGTAGTGCCTAAATGCAAAACATTTATGAATAGCTAAATATTTAGGCAAATGTAACAGAATGTGAACAACGTAATTTTTCGGATAAATGTTGGACAAAAATGAACAATGAAAATAATATTGATTACTCAAGTAATTCCCGACGACAGTGAGAAGTCTTACGTGTAAGTTTTAAAATTTCTTGGTGTTTAATAACTTACTTCGTTTTCTTGTTCTTGGGAAACTTATTCTTAAATCTACACTGTCGTAAACAAAAATAATCCCTGCAGGAGACAGCTTTATACAACTCACGTACTTTTCCTCTTCCTCACAAGGAGTTGATTTTGTTTGCTTCACTTAACCTTCTGTAGGAGCGCAATTTGGAAAGAAGGGGAAATTCGTCGATTTCATTTCTTTATTAACGTTGTTTTTCTTTGCACTTTCTAGCAAAATATTTTTTCTTTTTATCGTGGCTCTTCCAGTTTCTATGGGCCGTTCGTGGCCAAATAGTAAGCGTGCCAGGCTATGGATCGTCAGATCTAAGAGTCGCGCCGTGATGTCGCTGAACACGCTCAGTGCTTTCGGCTGTGGGAGCGTTATAAGCGTCACAATCAATCACGCTATTATGTGTTAACGAATTGTTGATAAATATCTTAAAAAATAATTGTACTGTTAAAAAAAAAACCTTAATCATATTAAAAACTTTAAGTATAATCTTTTTGATGACTTATTACTTTTGATTAATAAATTCTATTCTTATACTTCTTACAATTAACAAATATTTCTCGAAGGTATTTAACGAAAATATTGTTTTCTTTTTTTTGCAAGTATAAGATGCTTTTCTGGAAAAAGTATAATATTCTATTTCTATAACCATTCTTTACAATTTGATATCTGATCTTTAGAAAAAGCTAAATAACCATTCTTTAACCGTGGAGTCACTGGTCTGGCCGTTTAGCCCATGTGTCGCTTAAGATTATGTTCAGGTTTCCGCCTCTTGCCTCAGTGGTAAGTTTGAGGGCTTATAACACTAAGAATCGGGTTTCGATACCCGCTATTGGCAGAGCACAAATCACCCATTGTATAACTGTTTGCTTAACAAACGTACTGTTGGGGTTAAGCATACCGAAAACTATCAGTTCTCGACCAGTACAGATGGTCAGATATATTCAATTTTTAAATTCTGTAAGAAATATCGCAGTATTGTACACCAACACCTGGAAGCTTTGACGTAATGGCGAGTACAAAATATTGATACAATCTAAATTATGCACAAACGCCAAACAGACACATAGACGTACGGAATTTATTTAATTTTATATATTTTAAAGTTTTCGGTGCTGACTGAAGGATAGAGACCATTTTCAATGAAGACAACAAACAACTTCAGATAAATGTTTTTTTTTTATTCTACCCGATATTTCGGCTTACGCCTCTTTTTAAGTGTCTATGAACGTCACAGGTTACAAAAAAACTAATTTTGAATTATAGTAACCGAAAAGATTATAAAGAACATACCCTGTGTAGCCTATCACATAGATATTAAAATTCTGTTAAGGAATTCGTACATTTCATTATGTAACAAGCTGAGATACACATGAGATTTACTAACTAAAACACATAACATAGATAAATTTGTAAGAAAGTCAGTGATATAATCAAATCTGTTTTTCTTTAACACTTTTATTGTTTCCTAAATACAGTTCTTGATTATTTTATAAACAAATCCATTAGGGTTTTTTCTTTGAAATGCAAACTCAGAAACTGTGCCACATCTGGGTTTTTAATCTAGGATGTTACAGATATTAAAAACATGATTAGATCTAGGACTGCTCTGCGAAATGAGGGAGAAATGGCCACGTTTAAATTTTCTTACATAACTTAATCTAAACAAATATTCAAACAAATTAGTGGTTACGAGAACAAACAAGCAAAATAACTTAAACATTCTCATTTTTATAGGTTAAATATTACTAATCATTATATAATAACTAATACAGATACAAACTTAATGATCTAAGTTGGATTCCCACCCACTCAAAAGACTCCACTTT